TCCGGGCAGTTTACCTTTAGTGGGACCCTGTCTGAAAATATAAGTCAATAATAAATAAATAAGGGCTGGGGCAGTTATTCCGTGTGAAGGCCCTGGGTTCAATCCCCAGTGCCGCACAAGTTAACAAGCAAACAACCTCCCCCAAGTAACCAAAACGGGGACCAGCTCCAGAGGAGAGGTTCTTGGATCTCAGAGCAGGGGTCGGGTTGCTGGCTACCCACGTGGGAGCCACCCGTGACCCAGGGCTGCAGGTACTGGGAAAGGCCGCACTGACCGGGGAGCAAGCTGAGCGGGTCTGGCCAGCGGGCGGCGACGCTTGGGCTCCGCTGCCGCCCTGGGAAAGACTGGGCCCAGGACCCCGGTGAGCCAGGGCCGGGGCCTCCACCCAGACACCCGGGCCGCGCACGACGCTTTACAGCTAAGTTCCCCGACCTGCGAAGAACACAGATCAGGATCAGGTAGGTGTGTGGTATGCGTGCTGCCAAAGCGAGCGGCAGGACGGGGTCTTTAGTGGGCATCTCCTTCCACCCCAGCAGGACAGACAGGATGCTTGCTGCACTGGCATGGCTCTTTTCTGTTTGTTTGTTTGTCCGCCTATATTTATTTATTTATTTATAGATAGGGTCTGGCTATGTATTCCAGGCTGGCCTTGAACTCATTATGTAGCCCAGGCTGGCCTTAAGATCCTCCTGCCTCAGCCTCCCCCTTGCTGGATGACAGTTGTGCACCACCGCGTGGGATCTTGTCACCTACTCAGCCTGGGGCCCCATTTCCAGTGAGGCAGACTTGTGAGTGGCCTGCAGTCAGAGGCTGAGGTGGTCACTCGGAGATTCTACAAACACTAAGATTACTGTTATATCAGTGAGTTAAACCAGCAATTTGCTTTGTTTTCCCAAGGTGGTTTTTATTATGTATTAGGTACATTTATTATTTTAGTTTAACAATTTAATATTAGTGTCTCTAGAATCTATCAGTCTGGTTAAATGAGATAATACGCGTTAAAGTACTAGCATAGGGTTTGGAATATGGTCAGCCCTCAGTAAATCTCAGCTCCTATTCTAACAACAGCAATAATACTTTTCAAGATAGCAGTCTAATCTCTCACTCTTTCCTTCTGGTTCATATTTCCACGGGCTGATGCAGCTAGAATAATTTCAACATGAATTTTAGAGTAGATAACAAGATTCCTTTGAAAGAATGCCTAGGAAAGTAGGAACCTGCTCTCAGTAAGTAGTAAAGCAGGCTTCTGGGTGGGTCGTGGAAGCACGGCCTTCGAGTCTCGGTCTGGGCCCTCGCCCTCTTCTGGCGCGCTTCCCCTGCTGTGCCTCCTGGTATCTATGAGCGCGTTTTTGCGCCACCTTGCCCTCCCCTCCCGCCGCGCCCTCCCCTCCCGCCGTGGGGTGTCTGCCCCTTAGCCAGTGATCCTGGGCCGAAACTCTGAGCCAAATCAAGCCTCTCCTCCTCTCAGTTGTGGCTGCAGAGTTGTGGTCTGATGACAGGAAAGCCGACTGATACAGGACCTCAGCCTCAGCCCTTCGCGCTGAGCTGCTGCACCTCCCCAGCCCTTTTAAAATTTTTAAATTTTGAGACAAGATCTCTTCACTAAGTCACTAAGGTGTGCAGGCTGGGCTTGAACGAGCCGTCCACCCACCTCAGCCTCCCAGAGTACTGGGGCTACTGGTGTGCGCCACCACCCCCAGCTCGACCTTCCGCTCATATTACAACTTGCAGTACAATTCTGGTCAAATAGGAGCCATCTAGAGAAGTTTCTCTAGCCGGAATGGCAGCGCACACCTATAATCCCAGCACTCAAGCAGGAGGATTGCAAGTTCAAACTCAGGACGGTCAATGTAGCAAGACCGCCTCCAGATTTTAAAAAGGGTGAAGATGTAGCTCACCACACAGGCTCTCATCTCAGTGCTCAGTGCTGGGGGGAAAAAACTCAAAAGTGAACCACAGATCGGCCTAAGTGTATGAAAATTCACTTAGGGTGGTGACTTCCACCTGTTCGAGGCTGCTGTTCTACACGGTATGTCCGCACTGGATGGATGGTAGGGCAAGACTAAACCAAGCCAGCAAACTGGGGAGGTCCCCACTGCACCTGGAATCCCTGTCTGCAGCCACCTCAGAATCGCCGTTCCTGAGAAGGTCCAGACGGGAGCACGTGAGCAGGGCAGGCTTCTGTTCTTGTGTCTTTGGTTTTCATCCTGAGACTCAGGTGAGGGAGGCGTTTCACAGGCCCAAGAGCGTAACTATGGAGTGAGGACAGGACAGGTGACAGAGGGCTGACGCCGGTCCTGGGGTCTCATCCTCGTCAAGGCCGGCTGGATGCTACAGCTGGGTTTTTTTAAATTTTATTTTTAAAGATAAAAGAACCAAAACATATTAACAAACACACAAACATAAATGAAACAACATAAAAACAATAAAAACAATACAGGATTTCAGACAAGGTGATAAGAAATTAATAATAGTTGTTGAATTACATACTGTTATCTTCATATTGGTTACTCTGATAAACAAATACAGACATATAAGAATGATCAAACGATTAAATATCAACTGTTCCTTTCAAGAAAGCAATAGATATTAGTAGTATAGTTATCCCAGCCATCATATATGTAATATATGTGTGTATATATATATATATTTCTCCCCCTTCTTTCTTTATTTTGTCCTTTCCCTCATCGGAGTCGTTCTTTCCTTTTGAGCAGTTTCTTTCCCTTTCACACTATCTATTGTACCTTTTAGATTTCATTTGCTCTTTCAGATTCTTATACTAGGGAGACAATATGATGTTTACACATGCAGGTCTTATTTATTTCATTTATGAGTATGGTCTCTAAGTGGCATCCATTTACTTATAAAAGCCTCTAGTTTATCTTTCTTTATAGCTAAGTAATATTCCATTATATAAAAATACCACATCTTTTTTTATCTATTCCTCAGTTGATGGGCATTTGGGTTGTTTCCAAGATTTAGCTATGACAAATCGTGCTGCTATAAACATGGGTGCACATATATCACTGTGGTATGATGTTTTTAGTTCTTCTGGAAAAATACTCAGAAGGGGAATAGCTGGGTTGAATGGGACCTGTAATCCTAGTTTACTGAGGAATCTCCAGACTGAGTCCACAGTGGTTGTATATCAGTCTCCTACCAACAGTGGAGAAGGGTTGTTTTTTTCCCACAGCCCCACCAGCATTTGTTATTGGTTGATTTCTTGATGATAGCCATTCTTTCTGGGGTGAGATGGAATCTCAGTGTTGTTTTAATTTGCATTTCTTGAATGACTAATGATGTTGAACATTTTTTTCATGTATTTATTTGCCACTTCTATTTCTTTATCTGAAAAGTGTGTATTCATCTCAGATGCCCGTTTTTGGATTGGGTCTTTGAATTTAGGGGGCCTGATTTTTAAAAATTCTCTTGCAGCTGGTTTTTTATCCTGTCAACAGCTCCTGATCATTCTTTTTTTTTTTTTTCTTTCAGTACTGGGAACCGAAATCACGACCTTGCGCTTGCCGGGCAAGCGCTGTGCCCCTGAGCTAAATCCCCAGCCCCCAGCTCCTGATCTTTCTGAACAAGGGCGTCTGTGATGTGTGGTTACAGGAAGGATTTTTCCCATCCATGGCCCACCTCATAAGCATCAATGAACGCATCCTCCTTTGCAGTCTTTTCTTTGTACTCTGGAAATTCTTTGAGTGCCTTTAAACAGCGCAACACAGAAGTTTTTGGTCATAATTCATTTTTAAAGGGAAAACCTAACACTTTTACCTTTTTGCAGCTTTTCTGTTTGTTTTTTTTTTTTTGTTTTTCTTCTGGTACTAGGAATCAAACTCATGACCTTGAGCTTGCCAGGCAGGTGCTTTGCCGCTGAGCTAAGTCCCCAGCCCCTTTTTGCAGCTTTTCACAAAGCCTTGTGAAAAGGCTTTGTGAGTGAGTTGTTGCTTGTGAGTGAGTTGTTACTTGTGAGTGAGTTGAAGCAGGATATTTAAGGTAAAGGCTCTGTGCCTCCCTTCCTGCAAGGCAGCCTCCAGCTCTTGTCCAGACTGGGAAAAGGAATGTTGTCCCATGAATGATCATAATGCTTCCTTTGAACTGAATTTGACCTCTTTTCTCCTTAAACAAAACAGTACACTGAGGGCACTAGCAAGGGGCCGGATTCCGTTTCCAGTGCACAGAAGTCTAATGTGATGGTTCTGGGAGAGCTGCATGTTTCTTTACTTAGTATTCATTGGCCCTTCAAATGCCAGTTCTCAAAGGTCGTAGATATCATATTCTGTATTTGGAGTCTTTTCCTTTTTCATACATTTTTTTAAGCCTCTGGCTTGTAAACAGTCCATCTGTTGACTTTTAAAGCTGTTCTCTTAGCAAGGCAACAATGGCATTCATTGTTCACAGAGCAAGCAGGGGTGGGAAGAAAGGTTTAATTTGCCTTAGACAACTCGAATTAATAATCATGATGGGAAACTGCGGAAGGTAGACAGTCCTTGGCCGAGGGAGGGCAAAGCCAAGCAGATCTTTGTTTTTTGCCTCAGTTAATGCATTTGTTTCTAGCTCTAAGCGTTAGTCCTTCTGCCCCTCAAGCATAACCAATACCATTCCCAGGTTACTGATGTTTCCAGGATGACCTAAAACAAGAATCAGGGATGGTGTGGTGGTACACGTCTATAATGCCAGCACCCTGGGAGGCTGAGGCAGGAAGGAGGATTGCAACTCCTAGCCCTGTCTGGGCAACAGTGATTTAGTGACATACTATTTCAAAATTTAAAAGGGCTTGGGATAGAGCTTATTGGAA